TATTTATAAGAGCACATCTTTTAACAAACAGATAATGTGCATTAAGACAATACAAACCCAAATCTACAAATTAAACAACAAGAGTACGCATTGGTACCTGTTGGATACAACGAAAAAAATCTATGTCCATGAATTCGCTATCAAAATTAACTAAGGAACATTAAACAATGTCTAAAATGAACAAATTCAACTTTAAAGATCAACGGAAGCATGTTACCTACAAAAAGAAACAAGAATCTACGAGTCTATAAGCCATTGGAAGTAGAAAATGGCCGATTCACGAAACCTTTTGGAATTTAAGAGGGTAAATGAGAGTTAGGCATTCGCCACGAACAACAACCATGCATCACAGCCGTTGACGAAGGTGGAAAATCATGGTTCTGAATCGATATTTCTCTATTTTTCTGTTTCATAAGCGTAGACGACGACGCATGGTCTAGAAAGTCAAGGAACTCGTGTGACTCATATTCAAATTTCTTTTGTTGCTGGATAAGAAGTGGGGAAAACATCAACACCGATTCATTGTGGATATAGGAATAAAAAGAATATATGACACCAAATATAGAACTTCAGTGGCATTTTCATTATTTATGCCATTATTATTATTAATTATTAATATTATTGGCATACAATATTATTAAGTGCTATTAAATATATTAATTTTATAGTGGCATAAATAATATGCTACTAAAACTATACTATAGTTATGTAAAAAAAAGTATCATTAAAATTGTGTGTCATAATAACAATAAACTATGATTTTACCAATTCCATTAATTTAATTACACATTGTTTTTTTTTCTAATTAATACATTGATTTTACCATTGATATTAGGGGTGTTTGTTTTAGTTTATTTTTTCTATCCTATTTTTATGAGCTCGATTTATTTTCTTAGTGTAAATCATCAAAAGTTCATAACTTGGAAAATATATTAATTTTATAGTGGCATAAATAATATGCTACTAAAACTATACATAGTTACATAAAAAAAGTCTCATTAAAACTGTGTGCCATAATAGCAATAAACTATGATTTTACCAATTCCATTAATTTAATTACGCATTGTTTTTTTTTTCTAATTAATTCATTGATTTTACCATTGATATTAGGGGTTTTGTTTTAGCTTATTTTCGCTAAACCCTTAGTGCAGAGGCATAATAGGGACGTGAGATCTTTCGATTCCACTCTATTAAACTTTTTTATTTTACAAACTTAGCCCAAAATTTAGTTTATTTTAAAAAGCGAAATTAAATATCATTTACCTTTTGTTCCTACTTTTCTTCCTACATATTTAAGAGATACAAAGTGTACAAATTCAAAATGTCAATCAAATTTAAAGTAAATTTAATTACACTTGTCAACATCTAAAATAGGTAGGAGGATATTAGGAACAAAATAAAGAAGACTTTTTAATTTCTCTTTTAAAATTGGGTCCAAACTTCTTTTTAGTATTTTGCTAAATTTTGAGTTTATCTTCAAAATTTGGTACTAACTTTATTTTTATTTTTAGTTTTTTTTTTATAACATTATTTTTTACAAAAATAAATTTTGTTAACTCTAACATTGAAGTTCTTTTTAGAAAGGTAAAATTCGTTTGACAACTTTGGTTTGAGTTTTTTAAAATATTTTTTCAAAAGAAATACAACACTTTTTAGATGTTTTTTTATTACTTGGTAATTTATAAAATAATAGTTATTTCATATCATTTTTAACAATATTGTTTTTCATGAATTTGATTTTATAAAATTTAATATTTTACAGAATATTCCTTCATAACTTTTTTACAAATTTATTTCTAAGGTTTCTTCGAATTTGTAGTGTATATATATATATATATATATATATATATATATATATATATATATATATATATATATATATATATATCATTTTTAACAACATTGTTTTTCATGAATTTGATTTTATAAAATTTAGTATTTTACAAAGTATTCTTTTATAACTTTTTTACACATTTATTTCTAAGGTTTTTTTTTTTCGAATTTGTTATTTATATATATATATATATATATATATATATATATATATATATATATATATATATATATATATATATTGTTTTCATGTAAGAATTTTTTTAATCTACATATTTACTAACTAAATTACATTTTTATGCATAATTAACCATAATAATAATAATGTAGATTATGTTTTCTCCATTATATATACATATTTTTGTGATGGCAATACGCATGGGTCTTTTTATTTACACTTTTAATCTATTTTGAAGATACATTCTTATAAAAAAAATTACCTTTTATTAAAATTCAATTTGGCTTTTTCATGTTTTTTAAAATTTTAATAAACTTTTCACTGTATCAACAAAAAATAAAAAAGTTGATGCGCTAAACCCTTAGTACAAAGACATAATAAGGACGTGAGATCTTTCGATTCCACTCTATTAAACTTTTTTATTTTACAAACTTAGCCCAAAATTTAGTTTATTTTAAATAGAGAAATTAAATATCATCTAACTTTTGTTCCTACTTTTGTTCCTATATATTTAAGATGATGCCAAGTGTACAAATTCAAAATGTCAATAAAATTTAAATTAAATTTAATTACACTTGTCAACATCTAAAATAGGTATGAGGATATTAAGAACAAAATAAAGAAGACTATTTAATTTCCCTTTTAAAATTGGGTCCAAACTTCTTTTTAGCATTTTGCTAAATTTTGAGTTTATCTTCAAAATTTGGTACCAACTTTATTTTTATTTTTAGTTTTTTTATAACATTATTTTTTACAAAAATAAATTTTATTAACTCTAACATTGAAGTTATTTTTAGAAAGGTAAAATTCGTTTGACGACTTTGGTTTGAGTTTTTTAAAATATTTTTTTAAAAGAAATACAACATTTTTTAGATGTTTTTTTATTACTTGGTAATTTATAAAATAATAGTTATTTCATATCATTTTTAACAATATTTTTTTCTTGAATTTGATTTTATAAAATTTAATATTTTACAGAATATTCCTTCATAACTTTTTTACAAATTTATTTCTAAGGTTTCTTCGAATTTGTTATATATATATATATATATATATATATATATATATATATATATATATATATATATATATATATATATATATATATATATATATATATATATATATATATATACTAGCCGTAGACCCGCGCAAAGCGGCGGCGAAAAATAGTTTCTCATTCGGCAATAAGTTCTATACGGAAACATGTTAGATTTCAAGTAACACAAAACATATGCATATTGTTATCGATTGGTTTTACGGCAACAAATAAATGTAACCCTCTCAATACAAAAGAAAATAAATATTTTGGTGTGTAGTGTACGTTTATAGTCCTTCATTTTAGAAATCAGGACACATCCATACGAAGTGAGTTGCTTATACCTTTATTGGTATTGATAAAGTTAATAAAAGGGAGAATCAAAGTTAATCTTAACAACCCGGTTTGCTTTATACAGATAAGTCTAAACAGATATATCCTATTATCCACTTTACTATCTAAAATTTTAAACCGAAAAATAATAAAATTAATACAAACATATTTCATGGAACATGAATAACAAATGGAATACTGATTTTCTATTAGTCATAAATCATACATAGATATTTTTTCTTATTATTAAACAAAATATTTGATTTTACAACTGATTGGTCAATTTCGATTAGAGGGTATAAATAATAAATAAAGCTTAAAAAAAATTACAAATAAAAGAGCATATATAATGAATTATTTGTTTTATTTTAATTAGATAAGAGATTTAGTCAAATTTTTGGAAGAGATAAGATTTCAAAGGTAATCAGATTAAAATTTAATATTATTTTATTGATAATTAGTTGTACTTTACGCTTAGAGAGTTGAACGTCTTAAAAAAATAATATTATTTTATTGGATCTATTTATAGAAATAGTAGGATTTCTTTTATAAGTTAGTAAAGATATATATATATATATATATATATATATATATATATATATATATATATATATATATATATATATATATATATATATATATATATATATATATATATATATATATCATTTTTAACAACATTGTTTTTCATGAATTTGATTTTATAAAATTTAATATTTTACATAGTATTCTTTTATAACTTTTTTACACATTTATTTCTAAGGTTTTTTTTCGAATTTGTTATATATATATATATATATATATATATATATATATATATATATATATATATATATATATATATATATATATATATATTTTCATGTAATAATTTTTTTAATCTACATATTTACTAACTAAATTACATTTTTATGCATAATTAACCATAATAATAATAATGTAGATTATGTTTTCTCCATTATATATACATATATTTGTGATGGCAATACGCATGGGTTTTTTTATTTACACCTTTAATCTATTTTGAAGATACATTCTTATAAAAAAAATTATTACCTTTATTAAGATTCAATTTGGGTTTTTCATGTTTTCTAAAACTTTAATAAACTTTTCACTGTATCAACATATAATTTTATTTGGAACAACAAACTACTAGACTAATGTATATTTAACATTAGCCGGATGATGCTACACTATTTAAACGACACATAAAACTAGCTATGTATTACATGAATTTATTAAAAAAAACATATGAAGATCTAAAATTTTAAAAAGTTAGAATTTATAAGGAAAAAGATAAAAGTATTTAATTATTACTATTAAAATGTATTTTTTTAATTTAAATAAATAAACAAAAAAATAATTAGATTCAATTTAAAATTTTAGAAATAAAAAAAAAATTGCATTAATAAAACTGACATGTATTTATTAATATATTTATCACATTACATTTAAATTATATGGAATTTAATAAAAAAAAACAAAGAAAAAAAAATAAAATTACATGTAGAAGGAATTTAATCATAAAAAACGATCAAATAAAATAAATAAGAGTTTAACGTATAACAAAAAATATATATATATTTATTTATTAGAATAGATAGATCGTTCATTAATCTCTATTTTAAACATTTAACTATACAAACACCTCTAAAAAAAACACTAAATATTGTAAAAGATATAAGGTGCAAAAGTAGAAAAACAAAAAGTGGTAGTACTCAAAACACAAATTTATCAAAGAAATAAAATGAGCGTTCCTTTTGTAGAGGCCTTGGCAACGTGAAAAAGTTAGGGATCCGCCATTGTCGTGGTAAGAGCACTCCATCCGAATGGTGCTTACAAATTTCGATGGAACTGGAATTGGATTCGGTAATCTTATTCAATTCTTGCATTTCCCTTCACAATATTCCGTCTAATTTTCTCTATTCGTTAAGATTCTTCCTGCAAAACCCTCACTTGGTTTCTGTTTTTAGGTTTTGGAGTCGGCTGTGGTTTCGGCGTTGGATGGGGTTTCGGAGGTCACATCTCTCTCTAACACATTCACACCTGTTTCCACCCTCAATTACTTCTATAACTCGTCTTATATTCTTTATCCATATGATTGATCAATATATACAGATAATGCTATCTGTTCTTCCTGTTCATAAACTGCAAATTGGAATCCAAACTAATTAACATTGTATCTTATTCAGGTATGCCTTTGAATTTCCTAGGTCTTGGTGCAGGTACGCCATTTATACTATTTTTTTACTTGTATATATATACAACTTGTTCTTCATTCATGCGTATTGTTCATAAACCTGCAACTGTTTGATTGATTTGAAAGGTGGAGGCTGTGGAGTTGGGGTGGGCCTTGGATGGGGGTTTGGAACAGGAGTTGGTAGCAAATATCGATCTTCAAGAGTTGTTTTTCAGGGAGTTGATTTCAATAAGAAAAGTGAAACCGAAGGTACTACACAGTCATCTTGATTCTTGACACCTTGGAATTTGTAGAACAAATTTCAATTTGTAAGAGTAAATGAATAGAAACTTCGAGTTAATCCATCATTTGTCCAAGTTCTTGTAAAATCTCCATGTTGTTGTTACAATTCAAGTTTACTAAACACAAACCTAAAAATACAACATTTCTACAAAATCTAACATCAAAATTGGATGGAGATGTCGCCTATTATGCTTCGTTGCTCCTTTTTAGATTGAATGTAATACAAATAAAGCTGCAATCAAACAATTCAATGAGAAGAATCAGAAAAGACACTACCAACAAACATAAACAACTGATATGACATGATAGATTGTTTCAATATAAGACATGTTTTGTCCTCCTTATCAAAAAACTCACCAAGTAAACAAATAATGACAACAACCCAAAAGATCGTTTGGGTGCGACAACTATACAACATATAATACTGCAACCTTTGAAGTTGTCGTTGGATTGCATCACACCACCTATGAAGCCATCTATCATGATCATCATCATCATAATGTTCAGGGCAACTCATGTCATGAATCTTTAAAGAAAGAAAAAATAATATATGGTCATTAATACAAGATTTACAAACATATTATAAACATTACATAAGGAAAAAAAACTCACTTGAATAATAGGCGCAACATCAACTTCTTGCTTTAATTTCCTATATCCATTCTTGGGCCACTTCAATTTCGAAGCCGTGTACTCTAAAGTGTTCAAAAGCCCAGAAAAACTCGGGATCTTTCGAGGGGCTTTTTCGTCTTTTCCAACATCGTCGTCAACCGTGATCTTCCAAGACCCGATGTCGGCACTGGCGCTCGCGGCTCTTCTATGCATGGAAAATTTCTTTTCTTTAGCCGCTGCCGCCTTTTGCTTCCGGCGAGTTTTTGCAGGTTGTTCTTCATGAGCGATAGGTGTTACTGATCCTGCGAGAAATAGTGCGAGTTCTTTCCTTTCTCCTTCATTAAGTTTCACCCATGGACGTGGTGGCTTCCCTGTTGAAGAAAATGAATCGTTCCATGAAGTTTCAACTCTTGAAATCTGAGTCTCGATTGCATTGATGAAGTCACGATGCCTGTCTTTTGTATTGTCGGTTGAAGTTTTGTTGTAGCTTGAGAGAACTGCCCTTTCGAACTCCTCCAACTGCAACAATTCTATATAAAAATTATTTCTAACAGAGAATCAATGTCAACAATTATATACGAAATTGGGGATAAATTGGGGTGGTTTCGATCACCTGCCATTTGGTAGTGCCGATGGCAGTTCGTAAATCTCTTCGAACAGCGTCTGAATTCCAGACCGAAGGTTCTTTGGATGCATGAATCAATGTTCTGTACATGGATTCCATCCTTGAATCACATGAAAACTAAACAATCTGATGAACGAATTACAGGAAGAAGAAGAAGAAGAAGAAAAGCCCTAATTGGGGAAATTACCTATCGGCAGATTCCTGAACTTCTTCGGCAGCACGAAAGAACGGATCCTTCTCCCATCGATCCAAATGCGAGGCCATATCTATCCAATCCAATCTAATCGAGTGGGAGTTAAGGATTTATGATGAAATGTAGAATAAAATCGCCAAATGAGCCCGAGAACGCAGGCTATCCTGCAGCCAACAGCATCAATAATGATGGCATCTATGAAAGATTTAACGAAAAATCATCAGATTGAAGGAAATTCTTCAACACATTGTAGGCAAAATTAATCCGTTATCTGTTGAAGAAATTTGATAGTATTTCCCCATTAATGGGATAGTTTGACTATTTCTTTATAAACCCACGGTCCACTCCGGGGCACGAATGTGAACCGGGTTTAGTATGGTTTGATCCAATTTAAAGACTAGAGATCCATATTAGCAGTTCTGGAGAGTCTAATTTATAAGAGGTTAAGCTTGGTATCAAATATTGATGATCAAATATTTTAGATAAATCTAATAAATAGATTTCCCATTAGCACTTATGCAATTTTAGATCAATCTAATAAACAGATTTATCATATTTCTTCAACCGATAACGGATTAATTTTGATGATCAAGTATTCTAGAAATTTGATAGTATTTCCCCATTAATGGGATTGTACCCTAATTTATAAGAGGTTAAGCTTGGCATCAACTCATAGTTTGGGTAAGGTTAAGAAAACCATATCATTGTTCATTTAGAAATTAGAGTAAAATGCAACACTTGAATTTCTAAAAGAGTTTCATTGCCCTTTCCCACTGAAGTCAAAAATTCATAGTATAACTTAATAATGCACTAAATAGGTTAGGCCATTTTATGTATAATAATCCTCTACACCATGAGAGTCTGATTCAGTCAATGAAAAATATGAAGCAATTATTCTATGAATTGTAATGCATTTAAATTTCACTATGAAGTTAATTAGTTCACATCAAAATTCAAATTTTCGCATTTCATTTTTAACGCTGAGTATTATGGAACGAACAATTGATAACTGAAGCTACTTATCTTATCTAAAATCAACTTTGCCCCCAAATAATCGATCCGAATTTAATTAATGTGCTTTCTTATCAATTTTTAGATACAAAAAACATCATGTCTGGGAATATCTATAATCGATAGTAGGCAAGAGGGAGTATCAACGAACAACCATCGAAATAGCCATTAACGTCAAGATAATAATAATAATAATAATAATAATAATAATAATAATAATAATAATAATAATAATAATAATAAATAAATAAATAAATAAATAAATAAATAACCTATCAAAAATCAAATGAAGACATGGCATCATCAAACACCTAACCTTTGAACCCTAATGGAGCGGAAGACTCTAACAAGGCATGACGACTTCTCTTCTGTCTCTTGTAATAACGAAAACGCCAATGAACACAAGCACAACTGCACCGCCAATGTTTATTCCGATTCCAAGCACAACCAATGCACTGTTACTACTAGATCAATTTTGAGGGGTAGGCCAGGATACCACAGGCTCCAATGTGGATCCACTAGAGTGCACATTTGTTTGAGTTTATTCAAGATTCAAAGTACATTATCATTTAGAGGTGCAACCCTTGAACCGACTTTTAATGACAAATTTTTGATAGTTTGAGATAGTTATGAAACTGCCATATGGTGTTCTTTTTTTATTTTTTATTTTATTTATTTTTTTATTTTTTTATTTTTTTTGTCAATTTGTAGACAAAGGAGTTATCTCCTAATATTGGTTATTATTGTTTTTTTGTTTGGTACATAATAAGATCATAACATCTTTTCATTCTTTGTTCTATATATACATTGAGTTTTATCCGATTTAAAGTTTTCGAGACTACCATCGAAATACTTTGATCTAAAAGTATAATTCACAACTTTCAGTTTTCCAAGTATTCTAAACACCCGAAAATTCTAACAATACGTAAGGCACATAAGGAGGTTTAAAGAATGGATGATTTCTGTAACTTACTCTAATAAAATAAGTTGCATGTGTTGCTTAAATAAGCTGTTTTTTTTTTTTAACTTCTGTTTCTTATTAGTTTAATTTTTCTCATCATCAAAATTTTAAATTATAAATGAACAATTAAATACCAATCACACTAGATATTTACTCATACGTCTAAATTCTTGCATGTTATTTGTTCCGTCCAAGGATATAAAAATTATTGTCGCACTTCTAGAAACATAAACAGACCAATCGGGACAGAGCCGAAACAATCACTCCTTTTTAAGTATGTAAAAAAAGTGAAAACGAAAACCCCAACTTCAAAATTTCTCAGTGTCACACGAATTACCCGTTCAACCAATCAACATTCAACATTCCAGAAAAAATAAAATCGAAAAAGAAAAAGAAAACAAAGATCAAAGAGCGTGAACATTTTCATGTGTTGGAACACTATAAGCAAAACATGCGAGTAGCCATAGCCAAAAGCACCATCTTTCCCGCACACCCATCTTCATTTTCGATTCCTTCAAAATGCAGAGCTTACTATTCTAATTCTTCCTTGTTTCCCCGCAAGAATCTTAAAGATCCCGCAAACCCCAAATCCATTTATTCATCAATTCATCCGAATTGATATCAATCTTCTTCTGTTTCCCCCTTTTCAGATCAGGAAATGGGGCCTCTTTCATGGTATTTGAAAATGCTTGATGTTCGTCCGCTCTACACGAAGAGCATCTCCGCTGGCTTGATCTACGCAGCTGCTGATTTGACTGCACAGGTAAACTGAATCAAAACCCTTCGGATTAAACCTGGATTTGGGCGTTTTATGGCTTTACATGATGCGATATTTGTTATCTAATTTCAAACTTGATTTGGAGAAAATTCCAGATCTGTCCTAGATTTTTTAGGTTTTAATCTTCACAATTTTCTTGTCTGTAAAGTTTATATGTAGAGAAGTATAGATATTGAACTTGTTCTTTGAAAACAGAAAATAATTTCTATCAATTTCTGAATTTAGAAAACCATTCATTTAACTTTTAAAAATTCAAAATTTGTTCTAGTTGGCATGGTATTAAGTTATTAATGTTTATAGTTTAGATATACAAATAGCTGCAACTTTTGTTTAAGTCCATTTAAATGTCAAAAACAATAAAACTTGTTATGTATCTTGTAATGCCCTTCCATCATTTTTTTGAAAATCGCCTTAGTGTTTATAAAATGACAAAAATGTCCCTTTTTCTCGATTATTGTCATTTTATATGATAATCAACTGATTTCATTACAATTTGCAAACCAGATGATGACCATGGAATCTTGGGGTTCTTTAAACATAATAAGAACATTACGCATGTCAATGTTCGGGCTCTTTTTCCTAGGGCCCGCACAACACGTATGGTTTAATTTCTTAGGAAGAATCCTACCAAAACGAGACATGACCACCACCTTCAAGAAGCTAGTTGTTGGTCAAATCTTTTACGGACCCACTTGCACCGCCGTTTTTTTCATTTACAACGCGTTTCTACAAGGTACGCCGTACGCACATCAACATTTTTATAGTTAATTTTGGACTTAAGGTGTTACATCTACACTGACAGTCTGCTAAACACAGTACAATCTGATCTGTCATGTCATGTCATGTTATACAGGTGAAAGTGCTAGTGAGGTTGGTTCAAGATTGAGGAGAGATCTTGTGCCAACTTTAACAGGCGGTCTTATGTATTGGCCGGTGTGCGATTTCTTCACTTACAAAATCATCCCCGTTCATTTGCAGGCATGTCGAATTCTTAATTTCTTTTTTTATATTTTTTACTTAGATTAGATGACATACTAAATTAACGTAAATATGTTTTATATCTTTTGACAGCCATTAATGAATAGTTCGTTTTCATATTTGTGGACTATATACTTGACGTACATGGCAAGTTTGGAAAAAGCAATTGAAGCTTAAGTTTTAGCATTTTTTTTTTCATTTTCTATGGCCATAACTCTCTTTGTAACGCTCATGGGAGTTTTTCACATTGATTGGAGGCAATAGGGGTGAGCATCGATCCCTCAAGAGCACAGGTATGGGTTTTTTTTTTTTTTTTTTTTTTTAGAACGATTTAACAGATAAAGTCACAGAAACCAATAACTTTTCATAAATGTTGATATTTATTTATAGTTTTTGTGCAGGTGGATGGAATTTGGTGAAGGATATGATATAATAAAATGGGTTAAAAGTAGTTGAGAGTTGTTCTATATTAAGGTGCTATATAATGGAAGTGTTTATGAACTTGACTGCCGTACGAATAAAAAGTTTGTTCTAAAAGATTCTTCAAGGGTAGTTTTGTCTTTTGGCTTTGGCAAATTTAGGAAGGTAGATCACACCTTTCAACATTCTCACCTGTCTACTGAGTGCATTTAGGGAACTCGTGGACATGGTGCGATTTTCGTTTTTCATTTCGTGTTGGAGTTTCCTATACATAAAATTGGATTGTTTATTAAAATTTACGCAACAAATTCCAACTTCAATTTTTATTTGGAAAAAAATAGTCTACTTAAAATATGAGAGGAATATTATATATTTTTCTAGAAATTTAGTTTATCATATTAATCATTTTAGTACGACTTTTACTTAATAGTTATATATTCTTTTTGCGTTTTGAATATTTTGTATAAGTTGTTAAATATTTACCAATTAAAGGCAAAAAGAAATTTACGCAAAAGTATCATCATGAAAATATTGTAGACATCTTTAAAATGATTATTATCAAATATAATTGTTATATTATCTTAATAACAAAACGAAAGTATAGCATAGTAGTCGTTAAATATAAAATACATTCTGCATTAACTAAAACGAAAAAGGTAATTAAATTTGTACAAAAATATAATCTATTATTTATGTGTTATTTATTTTTATTGACATAACACTAACTATATAAGTTAAATATTACCAACTGAATTTTGAATAATTTTTTGTTTTAGTTATGTAGTTATGATATTAATATAATAAGTAATTAATATATAGACAAAATTACAAAAATGGTTCCCATAGTTTCTCAGATTTGTATGTTTTGCCTCTATCATTCTTTTTAATTACATTTATCATCCCCATGGTTTTAACTTTTTGCGTTGTTTGTCACTGTAGTCTCATTTTGGTTACAAATTAGATCTAAAATTACTTTTATAACTTCTATTTAAATATTTTATTAGTTTTTGTTTTCTATATCAATTTATATTAATTTCAAAACTCATTTCAATTTAAA